GATCTCCTGTCCCATCACTTTCTCCCAACCCATCTCCATACCCAATCCTCTCATCTTCATAGTTTTGCATATCCTCAAGGCATTGCATGCAGGAAACCTCTCCTCCCTTCTGTTTCACCTCAAGCCAAAGCCGAAGCAAGCTCAGGCTCCGATCTGGAAGACTTTAAGCATCATTAAATTTTTAAGCCAGCCCACTGGGGCTCACTCTTTTGTAATTATGGATGCAGAAGGAAGGAGCAACATTCACCTGAGCAGGCATCAAGAAGATTCAAACACTTAATGGCTTTCCTAAACAAGCTCCCACACCCACAGCACTGTTTAAGAGGACGATGCTCGACAGCACTCCAGTGCTCTGCCCGGCAGATATACATAATTAAGCACTGCATCTCACCATTGCCAACCCAGTTGTCCATGAGTGAGTCAGAGCCATCCTATCACACTGGAGACCACCAGTGCCCAGCCATGAAGGCTTCCACCCATGGCTTTGGCCAAGTCTGCAGAGACTATCTCTACTTCACACATTCTTTTGCAGGATTAAATATTTTTAACGGGGCCAACAAGTGCTGAGCAGAAATGTCAGCAATCAGAACACCCCTATGTATTCAGGATGGGGGCATCTAGAGGGAAAAACCCTGCCTCTCTCTAATAAAAAATTGCTGTGTCTGAGCACTGTTGTCAAACTATCTCCTCTTTCCAAATCTTTCATCCAAACGCTTCCCTGAGCTTTCAATAGCAAAGACAGCAATCCAGCCTCCCTCTTCCTGCTCAGCTGCTCCAGAGCCAGGGGCTCTCAGCACACACAGGGTCTGGCAGCCGTGCCCGGAGGGGTTTGGGGCCGGGAGGCGGTGTTCCCTGCAGGGATTTTCCACGGTGGCGGCAGAGGCGGAGGCCGGGAAGAGGACAATGGGCAGAGGAACGATGGCCGCGTGAAAAAGCATTTGTTCCGCTGTCAAGGACAGAAAGCTCTCCCCGGGAGTGGTGCTCGGAAATGGAGCCCACGAGGGAAGGAGAGGGGAAGGGAGCGGAGATGGTGCAGCGGAGGATGGATGCAGTGGGGCAGGAGTGGCGCTGGCTCTGCAAGGATGGCACTGCCCTTTTAGGGGGTTTTCACAGGTTCTGGCCATCCTCATAGTTCACTTCTCTCAGAAGTTACAGTCCCTGCAACACTGCCTTTGGTCAACTTTCTGTGAAGGTGGAAAACCTGTCAGCATGCACAATACAAAAACCAGGCAAACCCAGAGAAAGTCTGGAAAGCCATGCCCAAGGAAGGTGCTCAAATCGCTGCAATGCTATTTGAATCTTTCTTAGATAAATTCACCTAAAAGTGCCTCGGACACCTCTTACTTCCACATCCCTCCAGCCTCCTTTTCCTCAAGCATCCTCAGCATTAAGGGTGTCCGGAACACATCCCTTTGGCACTCACCACAAGTAGAGAACACTCAATTCAGACCCCAAATTCACAAAGATTGGAAGCAATCCTATCATCTACGGACACCCTACATAGATTCCATCGCTGCGTGCTGATGGTCTCCAGCACAGCAGGAAGGGTGGTGAGGAGCTTTGTCACATGAGACTGTTGCTCCTTTTGGGGATTGTTAGACACGATGTTAATCATAAGGCACAAACCTAACTATGGGCAAGGATAAGGCACCAAAGACACCCTCGTTATGGGCCATGGCTGAATTCAAAGTGGGGTTTGCAGCAGGAGAAAGGGTAAGTGGGAACAGAAAGTGGTGAGGAAGGATGGGGAGGGTCAGAAGAGAGACTGGAGGGAGTGCAGGCAGGACCCCATGTTAGGACCTCATCCCCTCTGACATCTCCTGCAGCTGAGGAAGGGCCCTCCCAGAGGCTGTGCCCCCCAAAGAACCCCTCCCAAACAAAGGTACCGTTTTTTTTCCAACCCAAAATTTACAAGTTCAACTTGCAGGCATTTTCTTTTGCACACAAGGCCAGGAGGGGATTTTCTTTACCATCACGCTTCCATGCATGGAGACACCCACAGGACCCCAGGAGTAGAGGAGCTGGGACTCGCACCTCTCCGCAGATGCTGGCAGCAGCACAGAGCCATCACGCAGTGCGCAGACGGCCCCGGCATCACACAACTGCCTGCCCCGGCCGGGGTGTGCAGTGCTGCGGCGGCGGGGACCCGCATGCCAGCCTGCTCCGAGCCGTGCTGGCCATCTGCTCCCGCCCGCCGCGGCTGGGGATGTGCCAAGCCGGCACGCCGTCGCCGCGCTCCCCAGCTGCGCCCCTCGGCATGGCCGCTGCTGCTCATGGGCACGGGGGCTTCCAGAGCCCACCCTCACCTCCTGCATCACCCTGCAGTGGGGCTGTCCCCATGGCGTCACCCCCAGGGTGAAGCCCGAACCTCATCATCCTCAGATAGATCAGATTTGGCCAAGCGCCGGCATTCGAGATGTTCCGTAACAAATGTCCTCTGTCCCAAATTTGCATTGCCCTAAGCGTGTAGGTCAAGAAATCTCCCGCGTGACGGCTCTGCATGGACTGTATAGCATGGGGGGCACCGGCCCCCATCTTCCCCCAAGGCCACTCCAGCTCCTTGAGAAATGCCCCAAGGAGATACCGAGACCCAGCCCAGCATCCCCAGTCTTTAATCCATCTCTCTGCAGGTTCTTGACCTCTTCACGAAAGATTAAGAAATGCAAAACATCTGGTTTAATAAATGATTCATCAATTTCGAGCGTCCAGCAAATCAGCCTCTTGCTTAAAACCGCCCTGCAACACTTTCCACGGGTGTATTTATAACTGAACACATAGCTCAGCAGTCCCATGCTTGGCCATTAACCCTCCACAGCCTTGGAACGAATGGAGTGAGGAAAACATCACACCTATTATTTTGGTACAATGCCCCAATGTCGTGCAATACCGCACCTACTGCTATTCAGTAGAACATCCCAATGACAAAAAATACCGCATATGTGGCTCTCTGATAAAACATCCCAGTGTCAAAAAATACTGCACCCACTGCTCTTCAGCAAAGCATCTCAACAGCCACCAATCCTTCTTTCAACGAAAAAACAACAAACCTCAGCATACCCCAAGGAGGATCCTTGCAGCATGACTGAGGCCACACTAATTCCTAGCCTGCATGGGGCATCAAGTGCTGCTGCTGTTCCCACTTCATCAGCCCCAGCAGTTCTTCCAACACCATCGCCATTGACGCTCCGGCAAAGGGGAGAGCCCAGCCAGAAGAGAACAGGCAGTTTGAGCAAAAAATATATTATATATACAGAATATAACAAGGCCACAGTGCTCCATGGGGCTCTGCCCCGTGTCCTTCATGTCCCCATCTCGCCTAGGCAGGAGCAGCCGCAACACAGCCGGGAAACACCCAGAGCAAGCACAACAACACCCGAGCGCAGAAATAGTTATGACTGCTTCCTTTTTCCACTCATTCTCATCCAACCCTATGGCACCGGGTGCTCTGCTGCGTGAGAGGCACAGTGAAAGGGAATTTCTTTCGTGGCTGAGAGATACAGGAGGAGGATTTTGGGTTGCAGCCCCCAGCATGGGGACGCGCGGCAGCAAAACATATGCATGCTGTAAGCTGGAAGAGTTTGTTTTGTTGTTGTTTTTTTTTTTTTTTGCAGCAATATTTCACCCCATTTCCCTCTACGTGCTCCAAACAGAGGAACAGTTAGAGAAGAAAATGTGTAGTAAATTGCATTGGAAACCCAGGAGAACCGATAGCTGAATTTCTACAGCCAAGCAAGCAGCACACCCAATCTCTGCAAAATTTTTGCCTAAAACGCAGCGCTCTCCTTTTCACCCCACGGCAGCTCATTCTTCCACTCTTCCGTAAACACTTGAAAACAAGGCCGTGCGCACAAATTCTGCTTTCAATTTTCCTTGTATCCATAGCAATTAAATCAGCCCTGCAATACAGGACCGAGGAAAAGTGAGGCAGGCACCAAGCAGGGCTGGTCCCAGCGTTGAGCCAGAGAAGTTTTTCTCCTCTGGGAGTAAAATCTCAGCACTCCAATGTGTGCTACTGCCATAGTGAGGAGCCCGGCCCGCGTACAGCTGCCTCAGGAAACAACCAGCAGCCAGCCCAGAGGCACATCCAGCAGCCCCAAAGCCAGCCAGGAGAACCAAGAGGGTACAGAGGGACATGCGGCCCAACGCTGAATTCTGCAGGGCAAGGAGCCCCTGACCCCATGGTACAGATGTGGGGGGCTCCGGTGGGGCCCCCAGCAGAATATCATGGAGCAGCGGTGATAGCAGGAGCAGAATGCGGAATAGAAAGCAGCTGCAGGAGAAGGAATCTCTGCAACTTTCTCCCTATTCCCACTGGCTTTCTTTATATATATAATATATATACACACATATACATAATAAAAAAAATTGAATACATATATATAAAAAAATTCCCATCCTCATTCCTCATACACATAGAGCCCCCCCTCCCCCCCCAAGCCCCACATTTTCCAAAGGAGAAGCTTTGGACACCTATATCCGATTTCTTGCTTTGGTGCAGGGGAAGGCTCAGGCACACAGCAGCAAGCACTGAGCCCAGCAGGACCCCGTGCCTGCCCTGTGTCTCGGCATCCCCATCCGCGTGGAGGGGGCCAACGTGTCACCTTGCCTGGAGGGCACTGGGGAAACAGCCCAGCGAGGAACGGGGGTTGGAGAGATTGTAACATTCCTCCTCCGGATGCTCAGAGGAAAATAACATGAAGAAAGAGGGGATTTTTTTTTTCCCCCTTTTTCAGTGCTTTTTGCTCCACGGCTTTGCTCTCACCAACTCCCGACAAAAGGTTTCTAAATTCCCAAAGGCAACGAAACAACTCTAAAAAAGGGAAGAACCCCCCCAGGGAGGTGGGTGCTGCTGTGCGTTGAGAGAGAACCAAAACCACATCACAGCGATGCCAACGCCTTTGGGACGCGGTGAGAGGGGATGGGAGCACGGGGCCACCGAGCGCTTTGCGGGTGGGAACAGAGTGGGGGCAAAGGGAAGGTGACAAGGGGACGACACTCACTTCTCATAGTCCAGCTTGCAGTAGAGCTTCTTGTCTCGGTAGAAGCAGGTGGTGTGCAGGGGCTCCTTGCACGACGTGCACTGCACGCAGCGCTCGTGCCACAGGCTGTCGTTGAGGCGCAGGAGGAAGCGGTCGGCGATGACCCGCTGGCACCCTTCGCACACGGAGCGGGGCGTCGCGGCTCTGCCTGCGGGATGGGGCTGGTGGCAGCGCCGGGCGGACGGGAACGGACCGAAGGAGTCGCCGCCGCCGCGTCCCCGCGGGTCGGAAAGGGGCTGGGGGTCTCGGGTGGGCCGCGGGGGGGAGAGGAGAGTGCGAGGCGCTGCTCCCGGCTGCGGGGATGGGCCCGTGCTTTAGGGGAGCTCCGAGGGAGGGGGATCGGCCCCGATTTCGTTCCGTTTGGAAAGGCGGCGGTGGAGCCGCGGCTCGGAGAGATGGCGGTTGTTTGGCAGCGGGGTGAAAACGACGAAAAAAACATAAAGAAAAGGGATGAAAGGAAAGCCTTCGTTTCGATTGGAGCGGGGGACACACGGTTTCGTGGAACCGCGGAACGAAGCGGTCGCCGGGGGCTCTTCGCGGCCGAGGGCAGCGGCGCCGGGCCGGGGCGAACCGGGAACGGAGCAGCCCCACGGACTCCACTCTACCGGGGTCCTCCCACCGTGCTTCCAGCCTCTAGGTCTCCCCGACTTACCCAGCAGAGAGGAGAAGGGGGCAGCGGGGTCCAGGGCGCTCTGCAAAGTCTCCTCCATCTTCAAGCCGTCCAGCATGGTGAGGAGCCGGGCCGGGCGAGGGGCCGCACCGCCCGCCTGCAGACACAGCCCGGACACGCGGCGCTCAGCTACGGTAGCCCGGGGGCACGTCGCTTCCCCGAACCCTCTTCCCGCGTTCTCCCCACCATCGCAGGGGCTTGGGGTTCTGAATGCTCAAAGCTGCCGTCGGGGGTTCGGCCGCTTACCTTGGGCGGCTCCGGTGGGGAGGCCTCGGGGATGGAGAGGGGGGCAGCCCCACGCCTTCAGCCACCGCCCCGGGGTTGCTCAGCCGCGGTCCCCGGCGGCCCCGCGCTCCCCGAGGTTTGGGGCTGCGAACCGGGGGGAGCCGCCGAGCCCCGGGCGGCTGCGGAGAGAAACGCGGCGACCTGCGGGGAAGCGCCCGTCCGACTGCTGCCAAGACACATTTCCCGGAGCTGATACCTCCCTGCCCGACCCCCACCCCCTACCCTCCCCTCTCCACCCCACTCGAAAGAAGTTTCCTCCCCGCTCTCCTGCCCGCCCGCCCGCAGCAGCGGCCCCGCCACGCCTCGAGGGGCCGGAGCGCTGCCCGGCTGCAGGGGGCACGAACGGACGGCCCCGGCCCCTCCCCGGCTACGTGTGAGCTTTCGAAGAAAGCAAACCCCGAAAGAAGAAAAGACAAAAAAGAAAAATAGTGGTAATAATAATAGAGTGGAGGGCGGTGCAGCTCTCCCGGTAGTGAAAGAAGCTGAAATCTGCTCCTCGTTGGCGGAGAAGCTCGAGATGAGGGTTTGGGGAAGAAGCCGGGGCAGCGCTTAAGGAGAACGAACGGCAAAAGGGAGGGAGAGGGGAATCCCATGGGCGGAGGAATGGGCACCGCATCGACAGAACTCCGGGTTCGGGAAGGGGAACCCCCCGGGAGGTGAGATCCCACCAGGGACGGGAAGCCGAAATTCAGAGCCTTCCCGCTGCCACGGCGCTGTCCCATCGCTGAGCCTGTCCTGGTCGCCACCCAGGGGAAGCTGCGGAGCTGTTATGAGTTTGTGAGGGTTTTAGGGGATCCGCAACTCCTATGGCCACTGGTGAGCTTAGCAGTGGTGCATCCTCGTCACCAGAAGGTCCTCATGATGTGGGTAACAAAGTCATATCCTCGGGGAGCTGGAGACAAGGAGAGGCCACAGGTGAGCATGTGTGGCTCAGTACCTTGCCAGCATCCCCTGGGGTACTGGGACAGAACCAGTGCACCCCAACACACCCTGGCACAAAGGCACTGGTACCACACGCAGGTCAGCACGAAGCAGCTGTGAGCTGAGCAGCGGCAGAGCAGTGTTAAGCTCTGACACATTCACCTGTGTCTCTCCAGAAGGTCTCAGAAGAGCTCCCACCAACTCTACAATTACCCGTATGCCACCAGGCTCCAGGTGCCACTCCTCAACCTGTGCAGCCACCCGACAGGGTTCAGCCTCCTGTCCTTCCATGACAGAAAAAAAGGAAAGAAGATGCCCTCCAAATATTGTCACCCTACAGCTTTACCCTTCCCCGTCTCCAAGTGAGGAGAGCACTTGGTGCTGCTATACCATGCAGCTCCTGTGCACAGCTGCTGGCTCAGTCCGTACAGGATCAGCAATGTGCCCAGCACGTATCACCAGAGGTCTGCTGCAGGGTCTCACTATGGTTTGCACAGCTCCACCTGTGATCCATTTCCCCCCTTCCAGGACAAAAACCCAGCACAGAGGCAGAGACGTGTGTGGACACAGCAAAACTGGCTTCGTTCCCCCTCCCTCTCCCTTCAGGGAGCAGAAAGCCAAAGCGTAACCATCCCAAGTTGCAAACTACCCTTATTCCAAGGGACACGAATGGTGCTGCTCTGGGGTCAGTGAAAGCAGCTCCTCATACCTCATGCAAAGAGTGGTAACCAGGTGGAGCAGTAAAACATAAAAGATAAATGCTCCACCTCTTCCCCCCCCCCCCCCCACTGACAGCATTCAAAGCATCACCTGGCAATTCTCCTCCCACCCACACCCTCACCTCCAGCAATGTCCCCATAGCAGATGGAGTACTGCAGCCAGATCCCTGCATCCCATTAGGGCCAGGGGGTGGGTGGCTGAAGTCACCTGGGGTCTGCAGGATGAGACCTTGGCTCTCCACATTCAGTACAGAACCCAGAGCTGAACTGAATGCAAACCAGCTCAGACCTTTATGGCTTGAGCTCTATTTACCTTTATTCTCAAGGCAGAAGTGCTGTTTCCCAGTTTTGCTGAATTTCTGCAGCAAATGATGAAGCTGCATCAGAACCCAAGCAGACAGGGCAGGAAAACCTTCTGTCTTTATTACTGGGTGAGAAACAAACCCAGTTTAGACAAAGTAATGGAATTGATGCATGGTTTGTTTTTCTTTCCATGTGTCATCACCGTGAGTGGCTCAACCCACTATTTTTTTTAACTCCTCCTCCATGGAGCACTACAGAGTGAGCAGATGAGAATTAATCAATGCTTTGAAAAGTTTGGCACGTGCACTAAAACGAAGCTCACCCATGGTGCAGGGGGATGCTGCTAACTCTGAAAACTCATGAGATGTGATGTGCAACGGGAAAGAGAATGCAATACTTTGCCTTGCATCTGCCATCACCAGAGCATGGCTCACTTTGGAAAAGGAAAAAAAAATCAGAGTTTAATCAGAGACTGCAAGGGAACAGTGATTGGAGATTCAAAGTGGTGGCTGGGATTTGGGAAGAGCAAAATTTGCAGGAGATAGGAGCAAGCTGAGCAGGCAGAGAAGGCCTCGTTATGCTTGGGCTTAGAGGGCACCACTGTACACATGTGCAAGGACAAACACCCACATTTAAGGGGCTCAAGTGTTGGTCTTCCTCCATTTTTGAGTTCTTTGATGAGCTGTTTTAAAGCTACACAAGCTGGGGGTCAGCATTAGTGCAAGGGAGGAAGTTTTCTTTGACTTACCTGTGGTGGTGTTTGTTACTACTTTACACAGACTAGGTTTTTTTTTGCAGGGCTTCAGATTTGGTAGGCTCCAGCCACGCCACACTGATGTCCTACTGCAGGAGCTTGAGGTCCACCAGTCTTGATGTAGATTGCCAGGAGCATGGGTGCTCAGGAGCCATAGTCACTCTGAGACTTTCTGCCCCCTCCCCTATAAGCTCCACCTTCAAAAGGCACTGTTCACACTGCAGGCAACAATCTGGATTTCCTCAGACAGTGGACCAAGCTCAGTATGAGGCAAGCCAAGATAAATAGCCCATGGGACTTGGCAGGCTGTAAAGCCCTCTCTGGTACCACATGCAGCCCGAATTCCTTATTACAGAGTGGCTTATGTTGGAGAGGACCTGTAAGATCATCCTGCCTCAACCCCCTGCTGTGAGCAGGGTTGCCTCCTGGCAGCTCAGGCTGCCCAGGGCCCATGCGAAACCTGAAGCACCTGAAGGGATGGGGCACCCACAGCTCTGGGCAGCACTGCCAGCGTCTCACCGCTCCGAGCAAAGAATTTCTTCCTATCATCTTGTTCTTTTCTCCTGCTCTTTTGGTTCTCCTTCCTCTTCGCAGCAAAATCCCGGAGAACTAATCACATCCCTGTGTGGGAGCTTTATCAAACTGTTTGCTTTGCATCCCTCTTTCTTCCCCTCCATCCCTCCCTCTCTCCCCCGATGCTCCCCATGCCGCAGCGTGGCAATCTGTCAGGCGGACAGACGCAGCCCTGCTGCAGCTCAGCGCACCGCAATGCACGGGTCAGAAGGGGCAGATCACTTAACACTACACCTGTTTTATGAATAATAGTGCAAGGCAGCTTTGCTGGGTTCCTGGGAGGGCGTTTTCCCACCAGGATAAACCCCAAGTATCAAACAAATTCACGTCTTTAACTCATTTGGCTCTGGTTAGCTTTGGTGATGGGCAGGTCTGGCACTGCCATGCAGGCTGGGGGAAGCGCAGCTGGAGTTTGGGAGTTGCTTGTGCACTGTAAGCTTTGCTTAAAGATGAGTGTGATTATAGATTTGGGTTTGAATAGCAAGTTTTAAGTGTGAAAGGTAGAAAAACCAAAGAAACCAGGAAACAAAACCTTGAGAACAGGATCCATCAAATCTTAGAAATATAAAACCTAAGCTTATGCTGTAACAACCTCCAAAACACTATGGTTTGTAAACAGGCCTGGTGCTCTCTAAGAGCAGCCAAAGTGGGATTTCTGAGCCTGTTTGAAATGTTGTCCACCTCTCCACCCCAACCATAACACTCCCAGGTAACTTCTCCCTTCTGCTGCCCTGCCTCATCCCTGTGACCTCTGCATCCCATGGGGCACTCAGCACTGCCTCCCCAGCAGTACAACCCGTGGATAGAATGAGAGCTGGCTCCCAGTGCAGGCCATGCAGGGATGGGGATCAGCTCAGGAAAGGAAAAAGACATGAACAAAGTCACTTCAAATTTGAGATGATTAAAAAATATATATCCAAGAGTTCTTTGCATGATGTGAAGACGAATTATTTTTGATTCAAAGCAGCTCTTTGCTTAGCAGGAGCAAGAAGCAAAGCTATGTGGCATCCTGGTGGAAGACTTCTATCAGCAGAGGCAACAATACTCCCAAGTGATGCTTCTGCCTCAGCCCAGTCCCGAACCATAACCACAGCAAAGCAGGACACCGCCCTGCAGGCTCCAACCAGCACCTCTCATATATTATTTTGTTGTTGTTGTTGACTTTTATTGAGAGTGAAAAAATAATTTAAAGCAATTATCTGTACAGGGAGGTGTGTGGTTAGCTGGGCAGAGGGTCAACAATCCCACCGAGGTGAGTTAAAGAGGACGATTTACAGCTGTACAAAGACACAACAATCCCACCAAAGAGGAGCAGAGGGTGGAGGGCAGCTCTTGCAGCCCGGAGAGGAGGAGTGGGAGCTGTGTGGGGATATGGTGGGGGGGACCGGACCCTCAAGTGACCTGCAGGGGTGTCTCCAGCATCTCCATGAGGAAGGTGTCGATGGGGGTGTCCCCGATCAGCTTGAAGAAGAAGAGATGCTCCAGGCACTTCAGTCCGATGGACCGTAGTGCTGGCAGGCGCAGGAGGAGTTTGGCAAACCTGGAAAGGGGAGAGAAGGCAGAGGGGTGAGGGAGGCACTGGCTGCACGCTCCCATTCTGAGCCTGAGCTGAGGAGGGCAGAGCACAGCACACCCAGGCACCTTGGGGAGTCATCCATCCTACAACTCAGGGCATGTTAATGTGGGGATGGGAAAAGAGGAAAGAGGAAAGGAGGGGTGAGGGGTGGGGGGTGGGGGGAAGGGTAAGGGTAAGGAAGGAAAGGGGAGGAAAGAAAAGGGGGAAGGAATTTTACATCCGTATGTTTCGAAGATCAAAGAAATAAAGTAAAACCCGGCTTCTCCCTAAAGCAAGCACTCGAACCGGTGACTCGCATCTCCTCTCTGCCGTTGCAACCATTCATGGAGCACCTCTCCCCTCCTGGTTCAGGGATGCAGGGAGGGCTGCCCTCTCGTCTCTCCCCACATCTCCGAGGACGCTGCGGCTGCACCCGGCGGCCCCTGGGCCGGAGCGCGGCATTGCGGCATGGCAGCCAGCAGAGGGTGGGCTTGTACCGGGATGGGAGGGATCCATCGCCATCCCAAAGGCTGCGGTCCGGCAGCGGGGCGACCCCGGGCGGTGGTTTGTTTTTGTATTGCGGATCTTCCTCGCTGGGGTTAACTCAGCCCTAGGACGGAGGGGATACTCACCGCCCCGGCTGCTCGGGGTACTTCTGCTTCGTGTAGGCTTCCAGCGTGGCGTAGACCTTCTCCCGCAGCGACTCCACTTCGGAGGGGCTGGACAGGCCCTTGGCGTCTGGACAAGAGAGTCACTGCCAGGGATCCAGTGGCACAGGGGAGAGGTGGTGATGGTGCGTGACAGCTCCACAACTTACCTGGGTTGAAGAGGACAATGGCTCGCAGACACCCCAGCTCCGACTTATCCATCTGCATGTCCTTCATTTTGGACACCAGCTCTGTCAAAACTCTGCTTGTGGGGGACACGAGTGGGCAGACAGTCAGAAATGGGGGCTGAAATCATCCAGGATGGGCACTGGGAATCCCCCCAGCTCCTCTCTGCAGGGAGAGGTGGCTGTAAGGGACAGCAATGCCACCCACTGCTCTTTAATATGAGCACCAGCAGCACCCAGAGGCAGGAGCATTAAGTTTACTTCCATTCTTGCTCTGCTCTGCACATGGGCTCTGTGCTCTGCTGGAATTACAAAGAACAATTTGTGTTTGAGGAAAGCCACATGGGTGTTCCTCCACATTGCACTCTGCATGCCACTTCTGTAAGGGTGGCACCACCATATCCTGCTGGGCTGGGAGCAGACATGGCACAGACAGTACATATATGGCTGTTACATGAGCAGAAGCTGCAAGCTGGGGCTTAATGCTCTGCTAGCTAAAGCTCTGCTGATCAGTATTAGCTCTAGATCCAGTTATGGCAAAAGCTTCAAAGGGAGGGCAGAGAAGCAGCCTCCCCCTGCACAAACACACCCACCCACAGAGATGCTTCTGCAGCTGCAAATCCCTTTCAAGGTGTTTTCATTACATTCCGTTGTGGTTTTCGTAAGCCCATCAAATGTCCCCTAATTCTTCCCCAAATCATCCTGGGTTTGCTGTAGCTCTCCATAGAACAATAGAATATCACTACTTGGAAGGGATCGTTGATTCCCTTTCAGTGGGAAGGGGAGAGAGCCTGCAGGGCCCTGCTGCTGGGGATGACAAGCTGGCCACATACCTGTCAAAGATGGAGCCCACGCCTGCACTGTGAGCACTGCTGCGGTGCACATGCAAGCCTGTGGCCAGCAGGATGCCGTCCTGCACTGACACAGAGCGATGGGAGAAGGATGCGATGAGCAGCTCGTTCCAGCCTGCAAGAGGGAGGTGTGTGGGATAAAGAGGGCAGCTGCCAGCCAAGCATCATTCCCATACAGAGCAGGGAGCTGGTTTCTGCCCTTTGATTCAACATCAGATTCCCAGCGCCCTATCTATACTATCTGCCAAGCATTTATCCTGGCCTGGGACAAGCCAGCCCCAACAGCAGGGATGGACCAGCTCAGGGGGTCGTGTTCCCCACAAACTCACAACCCAGAGAAGGGATGGGGATAGCAGGAAAAGAGCAAAGGTTGGGGACATTACCTGCCCGCAGGAGAATGACTTGGTCCTCCAGGGTCAGGTCGGAGAAGTGGGGGATGCGCTTGGCCCACTCAACAAGAGTGAAGAGCTGCTTGTCAGCAGCGTGGCAGATGTTGGTGACAGGGTCGTTTGTCTATGGGAACAGTGATGTTGGGTTGAAAAGGGGAGAACTAATCAATGTAAAATCTTTGAGAGTCACCACCCACTCTGCACACAGCATCAAATCACATTAGCAATACTCAGGGCCACAAACAAAGTGATCACACTGCCAGTTATCTCAGCTGCGCATTTTTGGTGAGAGGAAATTTTTGTTACTATTATTTCTCCTCAGCCAAATTGGCCTTAAGTTGCACCAGAGGAGATTCAGATTAGATAAGTGGAGATGTGGCACTGAGGGACATGGTGGGAGTGGGTTGGGGTTGGACTTGCTGATCTTACATCCCACATCAGCCCTGGTTGACATGGGGCAGACAATCTGCGCCCAGAGATGCGCAGCCCCAGCACGCATAGGATTTTGTCCCTTCAAATCACATCTCAAATGCTGTCATCCCAGGCTGTGTGACATTACTGACACCGCACAGAGCCCCTTACTGAGCTCTCTGTGTTCACATCACTGTATGCCTCAGTCTTGGGTTCTACTGCCAGCTCAGCTTCCAGGATCCTCTCCACAGGCATGTCTTCACTGCCACCGCTCGTGGACTCAGCTTCATTCTCACTGCGCTCCCTGCTCCGCTGCCTCTCCTCCTGCACAGCTAAGGGACAAAAAACCAGCTCTTTACACCCGGGCAGCATTCAGCTGCTTGCTAAGCATCTCCTTTCCTCTTGGTTGAGGAACTCTCTTGGAAGGAGAAAATAAATGGATAACTTCTGAGGTAGGTCCAACCAAAGCACAATCACCGCTCTGTCTTCGTCACCCTCCAATAACGTTGGGGTTGCTGCAGACTGGTGGTCTCCAAACTTGACCTCCAAACTCCAGCAGAGAGGAAGAAGGAGGTAATGCCTCCAGGTGGCAGCCTGAGCTCAGTGGTCACAAGCTGCTGGAGGGACTCCATCTCCCAGCCACTAAGGTTTGCTGCATGCCTAATTCTTGAGCCAAACTGGGGCCTCCACGTCTATAATGGCATGGACTGATGCAGGGAGCCCCTCCTGCTGCAAGCTTGGAGCTCTCCCACTCTTCTATCATTTCCCAAGATATCTGCTGATGGGCGAAGTATCAGTTATTCACCCCCAGGGCTGCTGGGTGTGTGGAGGACAGGTCAATGTAGGATGTGTACACAGCATTCCAAGTCTTATGCCAATTTTGTATTGACAAACCCATAAGAAAATCCTGCTTTGGGAGAAAGGAAAGGCAAGTGACCAGCAGGTGTCACATCAGTTTAACTCACTGCTGGGGAGAAGAGTACCAAAAGAGCAGAACAGCCCTGCTAGCCAGCATCACTGCCTCAGTATGACAGTATTGGGGTACCAAAATGCAGAGTAAGCCCTGAAGGAAAGGTGGGGGGCTGGGCGAGTCATGAGTAAAGAGCTGTTGGCATTTATAACCATGAAGTGATAAAGGTTCACTGGGGAGAAGTTGGATACAAAGCCAGCCCCTGTTATGCAAATGTTGGTGTTTTCTGTTGAGCAACTTAATGACTTCTCCCCTTGAGCAGTCAGCAGTTGGAGGAGTGGGGAAGGCATCTCCATGAAACTGAGGGGATAAAAGTCCCATGGGAGGAGGACAGAGGATGCTGAGGAAGGGAACAGCTCTGCAAGCCTCCAACAAGCCCTAAGGCTGCCTGAGAGCTCGATTCCTCATATCCTCAGTTAGATAACTGCTGCTAGGAGGAGGATGTTACATGCTCCCAGCACAGGTTTGTCCTCACACTGCCAACCAGCAGCCTGGGGTTTGCATTTTCACGCTCTGTGAAGAGAAGTCGCATCGACTCCATGGTCCTCCAAACCACTTTGCACCTGGCAGGAAGTGCCTGAGATTGGGTTTTTGTAACAAGCCTGGTCTTATACAACCCCCAGCCTCCCTCAGTGCTTGGGGCAGCGCAGAATTGATCGCGCTATGGGGAATGGGCCAAAGCTGCATGCCCAGAGCACACACATAAAGAAGTCTCCAAGCCCGTGTGTACCTTCCCTCTTCATCCCCATGGCGAGGCACTTCTGATAGCGGCAGTACTGGCAGCGGTTGCGTTGGCGCTTGTCGATGAGGCAGTCCTTGTTGTCACGGCAGGTGTAGATCAGGTCCTTCCGGATGGTCCTCTTAAAGAAGCCCTTGCAGCCCTCGCAGCTGTACACCCCATAGTGCTTCCCTAGGGAGGTGAGGGCAGGCTGTCAGTGTGGATGAGCTCAGACTGACCTCAGAGGTGAAGGAAGAGCCTGCAGGAAGTCAACTTGACAGGGCTGGTTTGTCAAGGAGGATGGGGTGATGCTGTGCTATCACTTTCCCATTATAAGGAAAGACCGTATCCATCTGCATCCCAGCAGAGGGATGGGAGCCAAGATTGGGGTGCACTGACATGGTGGGGTTTGCCAGGCTCATCCAGGCTGCAGGACTCTGGGCAGGAGAAATAACCTGAGAACAGCTACAAAGAAGCTAGCACAGAGCACAGGTAAACAAGAACATCGTGATTTTCATGTTTTACCTTTGTTAAAGGTATGAAATGAGATGGTACCTAGAGAAGAGTCTGCCCTTAAGTAAGCCAGACCCAGCCATGAACCCTGTGATACCAGCACAACCTTAGCATTCACTGATTGATGACAACATTCACTGCTATGCAAGCCTTCAGGGCATCAGGGCAGCTGTCACTGTACAAAGCCCTCCCTGAGGAAGGACACTTCCTACCTGAGGACCTGTCCCCACAGATGGCACAGATGTGTTTGGCTAAGGAACCTGGGCTTGTGGATGGATAATTCATGTTGCCAATCCCCGGAAGACCTGGCAAGGGCTTGATGTCCTCCGAGCTGCTGACATTGTTGAGCACATCGAGCTGTAAAAGGAGAAGGCAAAGAGATGGCTCAGCTCTGTACCCCAGAGAAACTGTTCTCAGATTGAGTGTTTCTTCAGTGCTCAGACTGGGCTCATCCCAAAGCTTGTCCACAGCCCGTGGGCAGACCAACATGCTCTGGTGAATCCAGCTGGAGGGATTTAAGCAGAAGCTGAGTAGCAAAAATCAACCCTTATCTCACCCTGATGCTGCAAGCAAAAGGAAAGGCTAAGCAGAGTTGGAAAATGGCAGGTAGCAACCCTCAGCTGCTCAGTTACAGCCCCTGAACAACAGCACTGGTGGGATCCTGCCTCCTTCATTGGGGGATGCTGGTCATAAGCTGCCTGTGGCTCACAATGTGCAAATCTGCATGAAAACGTGGCAATCCCAGTGCCTCCCTGGGACTCCAAACTCAATCACAAGCTGGAGAACAGAGCAGATTTGGGGTTACCAGATTTGAGAAGGGAGTAAGCAGGACATCTAAAACGAGCTGCACTGAGATGCAGGCCAACAGCCCAGAGCTTCCAGCTGAGATTCCCAGGAGCTGCTCGTGGCTGCTGCAAGTTAAAGGCTGCAAACTGAATTGATCAGAAACCAAAGGCTGACATTGCCCAGGGCTTCCTTTGATAATTCTTTGCTTTAGAGCTGTTGTCAGCAGGGCAGTGAGGATGAAGGGCCATTGAGCATGTCTTTTCTCAAGCTGCCTGTGCAAAACAACATCTCTCCAAAACCACCATCAGCTCATCCTTCTCACCACCAACTCAGCTCCTTCCTTCCCTTCAAGCACGCAGCCTCCTTTGGTACTTTGCAAACTTCTTGCCAAGATGCTGAGTCAGGAGGAACTTTTTGTGGTTTAAAATGTTATCCAGAGCTCAGTTATCACCTTTCTTTTCTCTCTGCTGCACTCACAGACAATAACAGTATACACGCAGGGGGAGAATTGGGACAGTTTTAGCCATCAGTGTCTAGAAGCTTTGGCTCCTGCAGGTTAAGTGCAATCATGTATGATATTTGGGACAACTACTTGAACCCAAATCCATTAGCAGCCTCCCTGCCAAATCCCCAAAGCCCAGCTGTCTCCTTGAATTAGAGACAACGTGAGTAAAACTCTCCTCAGAGCTGGTAACATGGGGAAACTCCTGGACTGGGGAAAACTGCTTCCTGGAGCATCCCCAGACCCAGAGGAAAAGTTTTCCATGCAGCCAGCATTGCCACCAGCTCCGCCACCATCAAGCACCTGCCTGGCATATCATGAGCAATGGGAATTGCCTGGTCAATGGGAAACAGCTGGGTGGTGTGAGGGTCCTTGCCCTGCACAGGCACCCAAAGAGCCCCCAGCCTGTCCCTGGGGGACACAGACCCCAGCCCCGGGGATCCCCCTTTACCTGGAGAGGAGCTTCAGCCCTTGAGTGAGCTCAGGCAGTAAGGGTGGGAGCGTTTCATTTTTCTTCAGGCAAAGTCTGCACGCAGCATGGACTGCGTGGCTGGCATTTAGCATTAACATTTGTCTCTCTAGAAAGTCTGCATCTTTTCCATGTAATGAAATATAGCAGATAGCCTTTTTCTGGAGGAATGGGAATGACTATTTCCTATTATACTGTACATGTATTTCAATAATTACCCATATGGCCACAGATGCAGCAGAGGGGATTGCTTCTATATAAGATAAGATGTGAGAATCATCTTCCCCCCCTCACTGTGAAATATAAACAGGTATCTTCTGTGTCAACGTGATTTAATCAGGAAGATTCACACGCTGGCAATTGTTCTTTACATCAAATCTACAAAATACACCAAGGACTCCCCACCAGCCAGCCCACACCCTTCAGTTTCAGTCCTCACCTAGCCTCTGAGCACCAGGAACTAAGGACGAAGCCAGCATGCCCATCTACATACCTGTGGGCTGTGGGTCACAAAGTTCATGCCCGGAGCAGAGGAGGACAGAGCAACAGGATGCGAGCCAATGGAGGATGCAATGACCCTGTAGGGTGAGCCCAACGCATTCACTGGAGAACCAATGGTGTTCATGGGGGATGGCAGCGCCCGGGAGGCGTTTGTGGGGGCCTCGAGGTAGTTGTGATGTCCGTCCACTGTGCTCCCCACTGACAGGCTGGATGATGGGCTCACAGACGTGGAGCTGGCGTGAACAGGGGAATCTACAGGGAGAGATGAGGTATATGTGGATGCGCCTGCCTGTACAGCGGTCTGCTGGTCTGCCTTGCTTGTGTCAACTTAGATGCTGGCCAAGCAAACATGCCTTATTGTATAAAGGGAAAGAGCAAAATGTTGTTTATGGTACAGGAAATAAGATTACCTACAGCAACAAAACATATTATGAAGATAATGTTTAATAATCAAATCTTCTTGCGTTGCGTTGGTGCCTTAGCTGACTTGGAAAAAGGCACTGCTGTTTGCCTGCCTCAGGCTGACTTTCTATTCCCCGAGGTCTCACATTTGCTGTTCAAACCAGCTCTGGAGGCTGGAGAGCATTTCTGAAGCCAAGAAATCCCCAGCAGCCAGGCTGGAACCCACACAGCTCTCTGTGCTTTGCAACGTTCCTTCACGTCCCATGATGGCTCATCTTCTTCTCCCCAAGGCTCAGCTCTTCCCTTCCCACCCACATACCTCTCCACCATGCTATTTCACGCATTCCTCCAGTTCCAATTCAAGACGCTGGAGTCAAGAAACTCAACTCTACAAGATCCATCTTCCCTCTTCAGAGATTATTTTGACACAAAATGCCCACCAATGTCAAAGGGTCTAGCTGCATTTTGAAGATATGTATACAATCTTTTTTCCCCTTTCCCTAGAATTTAGCAACCTTAGTAAGCATTGGCTTTCGTTAACATTTCAATGAGCCATTGTTTCTCTACTGGATTTTCAACACAGGCAACCATTCCCTGGAGCAGCAAAGGCAAGGTGTTGTGTAGCAATGTCACACAGTTGGTTTTCCATAGCTGGCAAAGAGGATGGTTGTTCCAGTTGCGTTTGCAGTTAAGGCAGAGGTTTGGTGTTGTGCTGTTTATTGTTTTTTTTTTCCTCCCCATCCTTTTAACATTATTGCAAAGTTATTTACGTGACAGTGTTTGTTATTTTACCTGAAGTAACAATCAAATCTGATTCAAAGGGAAGATGCACAGTAAAGACGGGAAAAGGTCAGCTTGCTGAATAACATTAAAGACATTTGTCAGAGTCAAGGAGGACTCGATCTGCTGTTATCAACCCACTTCAGACTTAATTCTGCAGAGGGTGGGGGAGAAAAGGTCTGTGTCAATTCTTGCTTTGGCTTTTTGGATCAGTTCTCCCAGTGGAAAGCAACGTGAGGCAAGAGGAAGCCAGCAAAACCACAGCAGCAGAAGGCCTGGAGGCAGTGCCCAGGCAAAGGGCTCCATCCTACTGCTGGAGGGCCCCTCCCCAGCATCAATACACAAGCTTATAAACAAATTGCCTTTCACATCGCTTTAAACAGCGAGATACTTTTCAGAACTCTTCAGTTTAGGAAATCAGCCACTAAAAGAGAGATGGGGCAGAGGTCTTCCACACCAGAGTAGCTAAGGAGAAGAGGGACAATTCTTCGTCCTTTTCCATAACACAGAAAAGGGTGTTTTCAAAGTATCACATAGAAAATTTAAGTCACTAAGAAAGGACTCACAGGAAAGGTATTTTTTCTGTTCGTTTTTACACCAGACCTAAGGGAAACACTGTTCTTTATTAGAAAGGATCCAAGCCTTAGAAGATGCAAAGATGTTCAAGACCTGCCTGGATGCCTACCTGTGCGACCTGCTGTAGGGAACCTGCTTTGGCAGGGGGGGTTGGACTCGATGATCTCTGGAGGTCCTTTCCAACCCCTACAATTCTGTGATTCTGTGATTCTGTGAAGGCTTTCTGGCAAAGAAGACTGCTTTCCAGAGCCAGCCCCATGGCATACTTGTTTTCATGGCAAGAATGCCAGGGCCAAGGACACCCCCCAAAGGCAATGCATTTGTTCCCACACTGGCCAAACTGTCCTTCTGAAGCTGGGACAAATACATTGGCCAAAACCATCAGTTTCCAGATACAAATACCTATATCTAACCACAATAAATTACAATACAAATCCTACTCAAAAAAACCAAAGCAGTGGTCTGGGATTTTTTTTTACTTCCAGTCCTTCCCCAGGACCCAGGCTGACTTGGACAGCATAAATAGAGATCACAGGTCTCGTTAATTTGTGCCAAATATGGTTTGGAAAGATTAAATGAAGTGATCCTGGAGAAAATACTATTTGTGTCACGCATTTCCCAGCTGAAACTAACTCAAAAGTCTTGCAAGGACTTCCCTCGAGATATTCTCTCCCATCACATGGGGATGAACAGAAGCATCTGTGCTGCAGTGGTTCTGGGGAGGAGCTGCTCCACAGGGACGCATCTGTGGGATGACACAGGAGGGACCACAGAGCCAGGAGCCAGCCCAGTATGCCAGCCACGGCTGCTTCTGTGTCAGAATCCAACCCAGGTGACATTTACACAGTCCACAGTGGGTCTGCAGCCTGCCCATCAGGTAATGCAAGATGACATGCAGCGCTGGGGACTCGGCTGGCTCCGGAGGGGCCCTGAGGAGCACAGGGCAGCCCCGCATCAGAAGGAGAGGAGATAAGCAAGGACACTGCATAGCTTTGATTCCTCGCTTCTTCCACCACTGCAAAATCCTGGCCAAGGGTGGGAGCTTTGCATGAACAGCCTCATAGAAATGGGAATATAGAAATGCTATCTCCATCACAGGCACAGATGCAGAGCCCACACATCAGTGCTCAGCAGCCTGGGCCTGGGAGAACGCTACTCCACGGCTAACACTGGCTCAGTGAAGCCGGCTTAGAACATCTGGGCTGTGAGCACTTCCCAGGGGAAAGCTGGATCATGTCTGGAAGGAAGGATAAGAGCATACAAGTGACCACAAGAGCCTTGGCAAGAGCAGCAGGAAGAGAAGTGCCCAGTCTGCTACGCATGAAGATATCTTGATTTTCACCCAAGAAACAGCAGGAGACACCAATCTCACCAACTGTGTTTGAGCAAAAAGTGGAAAAAGAACACAGACTAAAAACATCCAAGCCTTACACACTACCTCATAGCCACTGCAGCAGTTGTAAGTTTGCACTGATTAAAGCCTCTTCAGCTCTAATGTCCAGCAAAGCCAGGAGAAGAAAGGTGCCCATGCTAATTAGAGAAAGATCATTGTGTTTATGATCTAGAATCATAAAATCACGAAGGCTGGAAAAGACCTCCAAGATTATGAAGTCAAATCACCAACCCATTCCCACCATGCCCATGAAACCATAGAATCATTAAGGTTGGGACAGATCTGTAAGATCATCTAGTCCAACTGCCAACCCTACCACTGCCATGCCCACTAAGCTATAAAATGACAAAGGTCAGAAAAGGTCACAAAGATCATCTAATCCAACCATCCATCTATTACCTAGGCACCTAGTGCCTAGGGCAAGCCTACCTCCTGAGACCTGCAGATAAATAGCAAGTCCAGGGATGATCATTCTTTCAGCCTTTCCACTTGTTCTTTAGGCATCAGAGAATCAAGAGGTAGAACAAACTGTATGAATAGCAAAGATTATGCCTATGCTTCTGAGGCCCCAGATAAGCACAGAGATTGGCATGAAGGATCAGAGGTGTGAGCTGTGCTGCCTCCCTCTCCTCCACAGACCCAAGAACACCAAATAGGGAAGGGCTTCAGCACTGGAACATGGGGTGTATGGGAGACAGACTGGAGGGAGGATCGTCCTTGGGGACAACATTCTCAGTGACATACCTGTGAGAAACACTGAAATGAAATGCAGTTATGTAGCAAGGACTCCCTGTTAGCTGGAATCGAATCTTTGCTGCTATTTAAATATGGAAGTTAATACAAAAAAATACTCCCTTTCTGGTGATATTTATAACTGTCCAAGCATGTTTCCCCATGCTGATATCCAGCATAAAGGTTATTGGTTTTGTCTTGCTTTTAAGGTTCAGTAACCTTTGTGTTCCCATCTTTGCCTTCTGCTCTGCAAGTCAATAAATAATGCAGCCTTCCCCTGACAGCTAACATCACAGAGGAACAAAAAGTTTTGGAGGCAAGTAGAGAGATCTTCAGTGGGGATCTGCAGAAGATGAGAGAGGAACATGCAAGATTTTCCTTCTGCTCATTGGGTGCTGAAAAGAACTGCCACCAACAGCTCTGGTTGTAAGCTATACGACTCCTCTGCTGCTTTGCAAGCCAAGGCCACCTAAAACCTAGCCCCCAAGGAGCACTTTGGTGGATGCACATGAGGCTTTCACCTGGCTTGTTGGATTGATGTTTGGACAAGATCATCTCAGTCTTTTCCAACCTTTATAATTCTGCAGCTTGGCAGACTTGGCATCAGGTGCCACTTTAAGATCTCGGTCTGATTTGATTGAAATTGAACGGTGTGTTCGCAGTTCAAGATGCCCAAAGACATTTAGACAACACACACCTGCGGTGTAATCGCATGCTCTTCTCCTCCTCGAGAAACCAAGCCAGGGGAAGGAAGGAAAACAACCCACAGATGTCAACACACGTTTTGCCATGACTTTGATGGGAACCACTCATTGCAGGGTATTTCTATGTTATGGGGATCTTCCCAGCCAAAGAGTCCCTTAGCAACTGCTTGTCAGGTATTTAAAATAAAGACTCAAGCCTCACTCAACCTAACAAGGTATCACATCCCCCAGGTGACCAACGTAGTGCATGAGAGTGATATAAAAATTCTTCCATTCCCAAAGAAAGAGAAGTCATTGAATTTGAGGCTTGGAGTGCTTTATGTGATGGTCTGATCAAATTTCCCACCTGACCAGAGGGATCTCCAGCACAGATTCCACCAAGAAAAAAAGTATGCACGTGAATTCCTACAGTGGTCCTTGAGCTCCTGGAGAAGTCCCCATCAGAAAGCATCTCAAGGACTTCAGGATCTATGGCTCTGTGAAGGCAACTGAGGATGGGTTTTTCCCATGTTCACAACTAAAACCTCTGCACTGGGCTGCAGGAGTTTGCCCAGTCGCTGGATTTTTTCACACATTTTCCTGTTGGGTCAGAGACCCCTTTGCCACGCTCACATAAGGACTTGCAGGTTCGGACATAGCAAGCTGTGGCACCTAAAGGAAAAGCA